ATAATTGTGGGAAAATTCTTCTTGTACAGTCCTTCATCACCTTAAACGAAATTGTGTGAATACATCTCCTACTACTGATTTACTGGTACTCACGAAAACAATACTTAATTCGAAAAAAATAAAGTATAGTAGTCGATTGTTCAACCAACATAATTGTGGGAAAATTCTTCTTCTACCAGTCCTTCATGACCTTAAACGAAATTGGGTGAATACATCTCATACATACTGTTAGTCACGAAAAAAAGTATAGTAGTCGATTTTTATAGCAAATATACGCTTGCTTTATCAGCAATCCCACCAAAGAATCTGATATATGAAATTCACATCTTCCGCGTGACCCAAGGGCACTAGTGGCAATGTTGTCGTGTGAGTAACGTGTCAAGCTCCCATTCTGCACCAATCGCCACGAAATAGCCTGGATACATATCATACATATGATCTAGCGGTAGTCACGACAATCTACTTATAAACAAAAAACAAGTAATGTAATCGATTTGAATAGCAAATACAACCTTGCTTCATTGACAATCACACCACATAATGTTCCACGTGAAAATGTCCGGCTTTTCTTGAGATTCATATCTGACCAGTAACCCATTGATGCTTGTTTTATGTGAAATTCTATAGAAACGTCAGCTCTACTCTTGTCATTGTGTGAAAATTCTACTACCAGCCCTTCATCACATTGAACGAATTAGGATGAATACACATCGTACTACTGATTTACTGATAGTCTCGAAACTTTACTCAACCTCAAACATAATCTAGCGAGACAACAAATGGGATTCTTAACCTATTCCCTTTCTTCAATTGTAGCCGAATTGTATATTTATTCATTTTTATTGAAATATATCTACCTCCCTGTTGTTCGGTTAAGCTTGACTGTTTCATCTCGATTGCAAAACTGTCGTTTTCCCATGACGACCACTTGACCGCACATCTGCCCGAGTAGTCATGACAATTGCCACCGCCAGCCAATGGGCATTGTACGCTTTCAGCGTTTCGCCGGCGTCATAGAACTGCCAATTTCAGCAGCCAACTGCCACTTGCCACGAGGCGAGGCACTGTGTTGTCAAGTGGTAGCATCCCCACGTTGCTCACGACGCGGCATCGAACCCCGCGGAAATCGCTGCCGAGACGACGCCGACAAACAGTCTGGGAATGTACCGCAAATTGCCTCGAATATTGTGACAGAGTCTATTGCCGAATCGAGATGAAACTGTGGCCAAAATAGAGACAAAATGATGGTACCAAGTGACGCCCTAATCACATAAAGCAACCCAACTCGATTCAATTAGTCCCAATCACTGGGAAAATGTGTCGATGTGTGTGCTTTTGTGTTTTGACGGTGCACAAAGTCCGGCTGATCTCGCGCAAAGTCGATGATGGATTGGTTTTGGGCTGTTGCATTTGTCAAATGCTTTTTACTCCTCCTCGCCTCAACATTCTACGACCGCCAGAAGCCGTGTCCAGCCTTTGTTCGTCCGAGACATGCAACATCAGACAAGGTACCAAACTGAATTCAGCCTCCAAGTCTATTCTTATCTCATCTAAAGTGCCTTCTCGGCGGACCGGAATTGGTGAAAAAACGCCACCAGCTGATCACACTTTCTCAGCCCACTCTAAAATGCCTCACGGTACTTTTACAGAGTCTGTCTTCCCACGGAACTTCGAGATATCAACGATACCATCACAGAAGCCGTGATGAGATGCAGGCAGTATTGACTACTTTTTTTCCCATTCTGTTAAGCGTGTCTCCTGTTCAAAGCGTATCCTTTGGTGCCTGCTGGCAACGCAAATCTCCCAGTTGTCGGAGATCTCAGCGTCCTCCTTTTCAAGATGCTAATCATAGCAGAATTTTCCCACTTGTCGCACCGCTCAACAGGCCCACATGCAATACAAAACGGTCTAGAAGTTGGGCACTGTCTCATCGCATGAAAAACCCTTTTGTCTGGAGGCCACAAACTGTACGTCTATTTGCAATGTAGGTTCGTGCTTGAGTTGAGTTTCGAGGCTAGCAGTAAATCAGTAGTATGACATTTATTAACCACATTTCGTTTAACGTGATGATATGAGTTGAGCTGACGTTTCCATTGAATGTCATGTTGCCTCGCTTCTCCAAAAGTGGTTCTCACTCCGGCTAAAGTGGACGGCAGTTTCGACCTCGCATCAACATTCCCAGCGGGACTCGAACTGTGACAGTGCAGAATGGGAGCTTGACACGTTAACCACTCGACCGCATTGCGTGACCCTTGAGTCACAAGTCATAAGTGAATTTGAAGGAAGGTCAGGTCTCTTTGCTAAAGCATATTC